TTGTTACTATTAGCGCTACTAGTGTGAGAGAAAGGAACTATTTTCCGTGCATTTCCCCGACGAAGGTCGCCTGTGTTATTGTTCATTGTCACGTGACCTGTGTTAGTGATACCGCTTGGTACGATTAGAATAATCGCTACGCATTGTGTCTCTAAAATAATAACTTCCGACATTACTAAATTTATGACAAATAAATGACATAAATATCTCTTTATACTTTACAGATCGGCAGTTATGCGGGATTCGCCATTATTTTTATCTGTCAAACTATGGAACTAATCGTATTTCCTGATATATTCGACGGAATCGGATGGCAATTTTACGTTGCACTATTTACTTTGCCCAGTTTGGGTTTGCTTCTTGGTTACGGTCTGGCTGCACTTTTCAGACAACCAAGTTGTGTAAGAAAAACGATCGCCATCGAATGCAGCATTCAGAATATTGGCACGGCCCTTACTGTTATTTCTTTATCATTTCCTCTCAAGGTATAATAAAGTTTACATATTTTCTAACATATCTCTTAATTTTAACAATTTATATTTATTTATTTATTTTTTTTTATAGCTTCAAAAAGATATCCTTGCTTTCCCCTGGCTTTATTCCATACCGTTATTGACAACTGTGACGGTATGTTGCGCTTCGTATCAAATATATAAACGTAACTGCTTGAAGAAAACAGATGACAACGATGATTTCGAGAAAAAGAATGGTTAGTTACTCTTTCTTGCTTAAATTTACAAGTATCTTTATATTTATTTATTTATTTATTTATCTTTCAAAATTAAATTTATTTGAAGAATTTTATCTACTACTACAGAATTCATTTTATAGATATCTATATGTACAGTACTATATGTATTATTTTTATGTAATATGTCTTTATGAATTATATTGAATTGGATTTAGAAAATATAAGATAATAAACTGTAATTTCGTGTTTAAATGAGTGCCTTTAAGTGGATATTTTTAAATCTTGGATTTTCCGAATTAGACTTTGTGGGTGTTGATATTTCCTACTGCAACTCAATAAAATTTTCACACAATCGCACTTTATAGCATTGAAAACTCTCCAGTAAATTCTAATAATCGATATCAAAAAATATTTTTGTTATAGTTATTAAATCTTAAATACTTCTAAAAAAATTTTAATACTGGCTTTATGCAAAATTCAATAGTCTAAAGTCTACAAAACTGAGTATTTTACTATAGAAACTTGAAATCTTGGCTTCAAGCTAAACTCTCAAATATCTGGATAATCTTACAGTAAAGAATAGCAATCACCTATTTCTGCTATTGTATAATTCAAAAGAATTTTATAAACGTTATCTATTCAAAAATATTTAAGTGTCATTGATAGAAATTTAACATTAGAACACTTCTCAATCCTTTCTACTTGATAACATCCGCTTTTTTTAATTCTTTATTTTAGTACGTATTTTTGGATGATATAATAGATAATTTTCTGGCATTTTTGGATAGTATCATGGATCAATATTAAAAAAATACAAAACTAACGATATCGTGGCCTTATAATAATATATATAAAGTTACAATTATAGCCAGAAAACGACCTTCTGCTGTAGTTTAATTAGTAGATCAAGAGCTACCAGTTGGAAAATATTATACTAAAATTTTAAAAAATCATATTTATTTATATTTAAAAATATGTATATATATATATTTAGAATTATATATATATTTTTTAAATATA